TTACATCTTACACTTTTTGTCCTATCATATTTTCTGCATGACTGTCCACTCTTCACCAAACCTGACATAAGAGTGCTTAGGTTTATCTGTTTCTTTGGGTCTTCATTTCCTTATGAAATCTCTGTGTCATGTAAAACTTATATTGAACATATTTGCATGCTTTTCTCTTGTTAATCTGTCTTTTGTTATAGAGGCCTCAGCCATGAACCTAGGGATAAATGAGGAAAAGGTTTCTTCTCTGCAGTTTATATCAATTTAACAAACTGAGAAAGGGGATTTAAGACTCCAGTGGGAAAGTATGGAAAGTTGTATTGGCTTATATTTTTATTTCTTTATTGGAGATAGAATCTCACTCTGTTGCCCGGGCTAGAGTGCTGTGGCATCAGCCTAGCTCACAGCAACCTCAGTCTCCTGGGCTCAAGCAATCCTCCTGCCTCAGCCTCCCAAGTAGCTGGGACTACAGGCATGCGCCACCATGCCCGGCTAATTTTTTGTATATATATTTTTAGTTGGTCAATTAATTTCTTTCTATTTTTAGTAGAGATGGGGTCTCGCTCAGGCTGGTTTCCATCTCCTGACCTTGAGTGATCCTCCCGCCTTGGCCTCCCAGAGTGCTAGGATTATAAGCATGAGCCACTGTGCCCAGCCTCTATTGGCTTTTTAATGCTAAGGGAATGGTCAGTCTGTCTCTCTGGTAGCCGAATTCACAGGAAACTCTTTTAAAAATTATTTGTACAAATTTATGTGGTACATGTGAAATTTTTTTTTTTTTTTCCAAACAAGTCAGTTGTCTGAACATGTGAAATTTTGTTACATGCATAGTCTACATAGAGGTCAAGTCAGGGCTTTAGAGTATCCATCACCCAAATAATGTACATTGTACCCAATAAGTAATTTCTTTCTTCCTTTTTTTTTTTTTTTTTTTGAGATAGAGTCTCGCTCTATTGTCCATGCTCCACTGCCGTGGTGTCAGCCCTGCTCACAGGAACCTCAAACTCCTGGGCTCAAGCATTCCTACTGCCTCAGCTTCCTGAGTAGCTGGGACCACAGGCATGTACCACCATGCCCAGCTAATTTTTTCTATATATTTTTAGTTGTCTGGCTAATTTCTTTCTATTTTTAGTAGAGACAGGGTCTTGCTCTTGCTCAGGCTGGTCTCGAACTCCTGAGTTGTCCTCCCGTCTCCCAGAGTGCTAGGATTACAGGCGTGAGCCACTGTGCCTGGCCACCAATAAGTAATTTCTTGTTATCCACCTGCCTTCCACCTCCTTACCCTGCTAAGTCTCCATTGTCTATCCTTCCATTTTCTACATCTGTACACATTTCATAGCACCCCTTATGAGTGAGAACATGCAATATCTGACTTTCTGCATTCATAGGAAACTCTTTTGGAAGGGGGTTAATGGCAATTGTATTTGAGGGAGGCTTGCATTAGTCAGGTATGGGAAGTTCAGATAAGATTTCTTTCTGCATCTTCTGTAGCTCAAAATGGAAAAGAAGTCACAAAGCTAATAAAGCATAAGCTCCAGGGACCCTCAGAGGTGCCTCCAAAGCTCTGTACTTATTTGTTATTTTATGTTATTGTTCTAATCTTCGTCTGCCCTCCACTGCCCACAATTTTATCTAAGCTTCAGGGTCTCCCCCAGATCTGGGCCTGCCCCTGGGCTGGAGCACAGAGGAGGATAGAGGTAGATGTCTTCAGAGAAGAACACAGGGACTATGCTTTGCAGTACTTTGTGAGCAAGGAGAAAGAGTTTGGATTGTATTCTAAGGGCAATTTGAACCCATTAGAGAGCTTTATAGCAGAAGTGAGATATAAACCGGTTGACAGTTCTCAAATTTGACTCTGGCTGCTCTGTGGAGAATGGATTGCAGGGAGGCAAGAGTGAAAGCTCAGAGAGGTGTTAGGAGGCTACCAGAAGAGAAGATTGTGGAGTAAAAATGAAAACTTAAGTCCCCTTGACCAACTGAATGGACCCCTCTTTGCCAAACAGATTCCAGAAAAACTTTAAAAACTAAGCTCCTCATCCATGATGAGACAGGAGGTTTGTAATGCCTCAGTATACCCCCTTCCTCACTGTCACTAGACATTTTTCCCCTAAGAGTTAAACAGAAACCATCCTTGGAGGACAAAGAATGGAATACTCTTCCACTGCTTTCAGCAAAGTGCCTGTTGCATTGGCCATAGTCCTCTCCCTTTCACGATTTTTTTTTTTTTTTTTTTTGAGACAGTCTCACTCTGCTGCCTGGGCTAGAGTGCTATGGCATTAGCCTAGCTCACAGCAACCTCAAACTCCTGGGCTCAATCAATCCTCCTGCCTCAGCCTCCCGAGTAGCTGGAACTACAGGCATATGCCACCATGCCTGGCTAATTTTTTCTACATATTTTTAGTTGGCCAATTAATTTCTCTCTATGTTTAGTAGAGATGGGATCTTGCTCTTGCTCAGGCTGGTCTCGAACTCCTGACCTTGAGAGATCTTCCCGCTTCGGCCTCCCAGAGTGCTAGAATTACAGGCATGAGCCACTGTGCCTGGCCCCTTTCACGATTTTGACATGACAACTGACCAGTTTACAAAGCACTACTCCCTGATAAATGACCACTGACTATGAGCTGGTTCTGGGCCAGTTTATGGAGACTGTACACAAAGAGCCTTGTGTCCTATGTTTCACCTTTGGATTTATAGAAACTAATTTTACTGCATTTTAATGCTAAATCTCCACTCCAAAGTGAACATGGGAGGTATGTAACATATATGTCTGATTATGCATGTGCATAACCTCTCCTTCATGAATTTTTATAGCACCTCCTATAATCTGTTAAATATGTATATTTAGCCAATCTGTTTCGCATCAAAGTCCTGTCCCATCCTTCCTCTGAGGAAGTGCCTGCTTTCAATCTCAGCCGGTGGCTCTGCTTCCCAGCCTGCAGGTTGCAACCCATCATAAGAAATAAAGTTTTCCTTTCCAAACTTATAGATCTTGTGATTTTAAGGATGGTGTCTTGGACTAGAGTGCAAGCATTAAAAGTTATGAAAAATAGTCAGAAGTCAAATGAAAACTATGATCACACAAACATTTCACACTGTTGTAAACCAAAATGTGCCACCTAAAATATGATGGAAAAGTTACCCTTTTGTAAAAGAAATTTATATCTACAAAGGAAATCTCATTTGCAGATCTCTCCCTCTCTGTACCAGGAAGAGAAAGAAGATTAAATCATTAGAGACTCTTAAACAATAGAGAAGGCATGGACTTGAATCTGCATAGGAAACCTCATCTTCGTTTAAGGTGCATTTCTTGGCCTTCTCATCTTAACTAGGCCTTTCTCCACACCATTTTATTGTTTGTTTTTTTGAAAAAATGATGGTACTTATGCCTGAAGTTTAAACTCCCAGATCTATTCCAGAGAATTACTCATTTCTCTGGGTTATCTCCCATTTATACAGAAAGTATACATGTTATTAAAGTTCTTTTCATTTTTCTTTTGTTAAAATCCATCTTTTTGGCCGGGCGCGGTGGCTCACGCCTGTAATCCTAGCACTCTGGGAGGCCGAGGCAGGCGGATTGCTCAAGGTCAGGAGTTTGAAACCAGCCTGAGTGAGACCTCATCTCTACTATAAATAGAAAGGAATTAATTGGCCAACTAATATATATATAGAAAAAATTAGCCGGGCATGGTGGCGCATGCCTGTAGTTCCAGCTACTTGGGAGGCTGAGGCAGTAGGATTGCTTGAGCCCAAGAGTTTGAGGTTGCTGTGAGCTAGGCTGAAGCCACGGCACTCACTCTAGCCTGGGCAACAAAGTGAGACTCTGTCTCAAAAAAAAAAAAAAAATTCATCTTTTGTTACAGAAAGCTCCACATGATAATTATGAAGAACAGACAGAAAATTATTTTTTCTCCCCTGCAACATGAATGTTGATAGGGACTCTATTTGTAATTTGCCCAAATTTGAAACAGCCCCCAATGTCTCTCAATTGTCTCTCAATGGATGAACAAATTGTGGTACACCCATGCAATGGAATACTACTCAGTGATAAAAAAGAAAAAATTACTGATATACACGGATGGTATACATGGATGAATCTCAAATTTATTATGCTAAGTGAAAGTAGCCAGACTAAAAAGGTTTTATATGATTCCATTTATATGACATTCTTGCAAATACAAAACTATACGGATAACAGCTCAGTGGCTTCCACAGGCTGGGGATGAGGGAAAGATTGGCAAACAGAGGCACAGGGGAAGGTTTTGAATTAATAGGACTGTTCTATATCTTGATTGTGGTGTGGTTACATGACTATATAAGTTCGTGAAAACTAGCTGTACTATATCCTAAAAGGTATAAATTGTTCTATCTTGAACCTGAAGAATATTATAATAGATAAAAGAAAAAAGAATAAAGACTAAATTGTTCTGTGTATAAATTATACCTTAGTAAATTAAATGGAAAAACATGGCTAGGTTTAAGATACATTTTGAATGTAGAGCAACAGGACAAGCTGATAGATTGAACTAAGATGGGGGATAATGGTGACACATCCCATTGCTTGAGCAAAATATGTCCAGAAATTTGTTTATACTCTTTCCTTCAAAAGAGTATAACCTAATTTCCCTCCCCTTAGGTGTAGGCTAAATTTGACAACTCACTTCTATTGAATAGAATGTGGCAGAAGTGACAGACATGCCAGCCCCAAATATAGTACCTTGGCATTTGAGAAAACAGGAGAAGCAGGAAGTTTCTCAGACCTTCTCCTGCCATTCTCCCCTGAAGGTCAAAAGAATACTCTGACCTTCCTCTTGATAAGGGAAACCATCTTTAACTTGACATCAGCCACTGGAGATCCCCACCACTCAGGGAAGACCGGTATCAGCATAACACTAACCTATTACCTGGCGCATCAACATAATACTAACCTATTACCTGACACATCAACTAACCTACACCTGATACGCCACCCGTCAGAATTCCCCAACTTAATAAAAGTGGGACAAATTGGGTACACAGGGCTCAGAATTTGGTGGCAAGACCTCTCTGAGCCCACCTGCGAAACAAACTTTGATTCTCCAACTCTCCATGTGTCGCTCAGTTTGTCCTTGGGACCACCCGCTGTAGCACTTGCTGTGACACTCTACAGGAGATCACAGAGAGACTCATTCCAGAGGGGTCCTCCCTAAACACAGAAGAAAGGAATGAAGACACAAAGATGCCAAGAAGAGTATGAAAAACAGGCCTGGTTAAGTCCCCCTGTTTAGTTAGTACCATCAGATCATACTCTCTTTTGGCCAATCATACTTCTATATAGCTGCCCACTCATCATCACATCTAAGCATAAAAATACAATTTTCTGTTTCTTTGGATTTTCATTTCCTTGTGAAGACTCCTGTGTGATGTAAAACCTCCCCCCTCCGCTACAAAAAGGGTCTATAAGCTTCTAGATTTCATTGGGTTATTGGGCACTCACTTTTCTTTCCTGTAATGTTCCGCAAGCATGTAATCCATTCATATCCCTTTCTCCTGTTAATCTGTTTACTGTCAATTTATTTCATAGACTCTATTATTGAACATTTATGGATACCTCCTTTGGAGAAATATCTATCCTGAATTTAATTTTAAATGTAAATTTATACAGTGGCATATGTCAGCATTTTCTCTGACATCATGTAACCTGAGGAGATCATACAAACAACTGAAAGCAGTTTCATGATTTGTATATAATTGAAAACTCCTGTTTATGCAGTCTATCACTGTATCTTCAATTACGAGGAAAAATTAATTTTAGACTTGTCTTCCTCATTAATAATTGGTTCATCCTATGTTTCATATGACAACAGTGTTCTTTTATTGTTATGCTTTATTGCAATGTCTTTGTGAGTTTGGATTTTTATCGTAAAACTTTAATGACAAAGTGGACTGCCTGAGTGCTGGCAGTTCCTGTCCCCTCCAGAGCAGCCAGAGACGACAAGACTTTGCTTTTAATCGCTGATTTTTTAAAAAATTGAACTGCTAATGAATGAATATCAATGATCTTTTCAGAAAGAGCCTTTAATTAAATGCACAAAGAGCGTTTAATAAAATGCACAAAGGCAAAAAATGGTTGTAATTGTAGAGATTAGTCCTTTAAGAGATGAGAAGGGGTGCTAGGGGGCGGATGGATGCATTAATAGAACTGGGATGGGGTGGGTGTTTGGTTTGTGCAGGTGTGTCGGGAGGGGTGAGGCAGACGGAGGGATGCGGGGGCGGAGCGTGCGCATTTGCACCCAGTAGAGAGCTGGCCCCTGTCTCTGGGTGAGCAGTGCGGACTCCCACCCAGGTCAGTTACTCCCAGGGACTCTTCCCCCTGTTTACTCAGAGAAGTGGGCAGCTGCGAGCGTCCCCTCTTCTCCTTCCTTCTGCTCAGGGGAGTGGCACGTCCGAGGACCACAGGGGACCGGCTGCGAAATGGGGAGGGTCTGGCCGCGCCCCTCCGGGAGCCGCGGCGCCCGCAGGAGATTTGGGGTGTGGAGGCCTCCGAGAGAGCGAGCTCCAGTCGCGCCCAGTGTCCACAGAATGCGCCTCAGCGGGCCACAGGGGCACGGCGGGACCCGGGAGGCTCTTGGGCGATTCCGAGAGGGTCGGGTCCCCAGCCCTGGGGGGGGGGGGGAGGGAGGACTGTGCCACCTGCTAACGACTCCCTGGGCGACTCCAGCACAGAAAGCCGAGGGCTGGGCCCTAACGCTGATCAGCCAGACTCGACAGGTCCTGGTGGGTCACCCGCCTCCGGGGGATGCGGGTTGGGGATCCTCCCCACCAGTCCCCATGTCCGGTGAGGCTTCGCTTGTCCAGCGCCCCGCAGGCTGCTGCCGGCTCCCGGTGCCCGGCGGCCGCGGTCCCGCCGAGTCAGGTTAGTCCAGGACGCAGACGCAGCGGTTCCTGCGCTCGGTGCAGGCGCTGAAGAGTCGGAGCAGGAGGGGAAGGACACGTGTCCGTGCAGTGGCCTGAGCCTCCAGCCGCTGGACCCGCAGCAACCTCTCGAAGCTGGATCGGCCTTGAGCCCCAGCCCGAAATCCCGCAAAGGGCTGCCGCCAAGGTTTGCAAGCGTGACCGCACTTGCACCGCCTCCGCGGTCCCCAGTCCACCAAATGGTGGTAATCCTGGACTCCTCTCAATGCCGGGCCCTGTGGCACCGGGGAAAGTCTCCACACAGGAAGCCCGGGGCTCGTGGGTGCAGTCGTGCTGCGGAGAGGTAAGGTGCAGAAATAGTTTAATTTGAAGTCCACATGAATGCAGTGTCACTCATATCTGGGTTTGCAAAGATGTGATCGCCTGCTCAGAGTGAGTGCGAGGGTGACAGGCAGAACGACAGCTCCCTGGGCTCTCAGAGAAAGCCTCTTTTAGACCTGATTCAGGAGGAGGTTCCCAGAACTCAGTGCTTTCCGATACTTCTCCGTAGAGAAGGCTTTGCACAGTCTGGAGTTTCCAGTGAGGTTTGCAAAGTCCTTGGTGATTTTAAAAAATATTACTATTAATATATCCAGCATCAAAACCACTGGTGGTGGCGTGGGAAGCCCAGGTAACTCAAGTGTGCAGACCTGGCTGACTCATTGATGAGTGAATTAGTTGATAGCCAAGGACAACATGACCCAATGGCAGGGGTAGGTGGTAGGCGGTGAGTGGGAGTGGGTAGGGGGAGGCCAAGGTAAATGGGTGGACAAAGGGGAGTTTTGTAATTTGGCAGAGTTTGAATGGCATCCAATTTTCTTTTTCATCAGCACCAGAAAAAGTTATTATAAACCTATTATCCAGAGGTGGGAACTTGATCAGCTCAAAAATGACATAATGGCTGTTTTTTGTTGTCAACTCATCCAAAGATGATCAGAAGGCCTGTTAAGGAGAGCTAAGTTTATGAGACCTACTGCAATAAGGGAGAATATTGCCTTGACGGAATCTTAAGAGTGTCTGAAAATGAAAGGTCTGAAAGGAGATACAGATACACACACATTTGATAGCAGAAACATCTTTATTCACATTGCCCACCCAAATGATCCCCTCAGTCCAGGCCTGGGACTGGTGAGAGGGGCCTGCAGAGGGGCTGCCTCAGGCAGGCCTCAGAACCCCACACTGTGGCCCTCTGGAGCTGCGTCTTTACTGTTCCTGCCTGCCCACCCCACCCTCTGAGGTGGGTAGCACTCTGGCCCCCGAGGAGCAATCCGAGTGTTGCAGGTCCTGATTACACAGAGGTGTTAATTATGTATCATGCAAACTCTAGTCATCATATTCTAATCTGCTCTCCAAAAGGAGGAACAGGTAAGCATTATTTCACCTGACAAGAGGGAAAGATATTTATAAGGTTTTGGATTCTGGCATCAAATAGTTTAAAACCATTAAAGCTGGCTGGGACTGGGCAAAGGCGTGACTCCATAGTTCTGGATTAATGGACACAGCAAAGGTCTCAAAATGAGTCTTGGTAGGTAAATTTTTTTTTTTTTTTTTGAGACAGAGTCTCGCTTTGTTGCACAGGCTAGAGTGAGTGCCGTAGCATCAGCCTAGATCACAGCAACCTCAAACTCCTGGGTTCAAGCAATCCTCCTGCCTCAGCCTCCCAAGTAGCTGGGACTACAGGCATGCGCCACCATGCCCAGCTAATTTTTTTTTCTATATATATTAGTTGGCCAATTAATTTCTTTCTATATTTATAGTAGAGATGGGGTCTCACTCTTGCCCAGGCTGGTTTCGAACTCCTGACTTCGAGCAATCCACCCGCCTTGGCCTCCCAGAGTGCTAGGATTACAGGCGTGAGCCACCGCGCCCGGCCGTTGTTAGGTAAATTGCTTGATAAGCAAACTGTTTTCCTAGATGAACAACTTGTCTAAAAAATTGGTTTAAAGTAATTTCATAACAAAAACACTGAAGTTATTTGTTTGTAGTTTAATGCTCCTGGGCAAGAATTCTAGTTCTTAACAATTAGAGTAAAAGTATATAGCTTGGCTGGGTGCGGGGGCTCACGCCTGTAATCCTAGCACTCTGGGAGGCCAAGGCAGGCAGATTGTTCGAGGTCAGGAGTTCAAAACCAGCCTGAGCAAGAGCGAGACCCTGTCTCTACTATAAATAGAAAGAAATTAATTGGCCAACTAATATATATAGAAAAAATTAGCCGGGCATGGTGGCGCATGCCTGTAGTCCCAGCTACTTGGGAGGCTGAGGCAGCAGGATTGCCCAGGAGTTTGAGGTTGCTGTGAGCTAGGCTGACGCCATGGCACTCACTCTAGCCTGGGCAACAAAGCGAGACTCTGTCTCAAAAAAAAAAAAAAAAAAGTATATAGCTTTATTTGTAAAGGCATCAATTGATTTTAGGTCTTATTCTGGTTTTGTTCTAAGCCTTTTCAATATTCAGTAACACACCCACTAAAATGGCTGTAATCAAAATAATAAGTGTTTGCAAGGATGTACAGAAATTGAACCCATCTACACTGCTGGTAGAAATGTAAAATGATACAGCCACTTTGAAAAACAGTTTGGCAGTTCCTCAAAAAATTAAACTAGAGTTATCATATAACCCAGCAATTCCATTGTTAAGTTTCTACCCAAGAATATTGAAAAACATATGTTTAAACAAAAAATGTGTATATGAATGTTCATAGCAGCATTATTCATAATAGCCAGAAAGTGAAAATAGCTCAAATGTCCATCAACTAATAATGGATAAATGATGTGGTACATTCTCACAATGGAATACTACTGCGTAATAAAAAGGAATGAACTATTAATACATGCAACAATGATGAATTTCAAAATAATTATACTGATTGAAAGAAATCAGACACAAAATGCCACATATTATATGATTCCACTTATATAAAATGTCTGAAATAGTCAAATCCATAGAGACAGAAAGCAGATTCATGGTTTCCAAGGACCAGAGGGCATGGGGAATCGGGAGTGGTTGTAATGAGTACAGGGTTTCTTTTTGGGGTAATGAAAATGTTCTAGGATTAGATAGTGGTGGTTACAGTCATACAACCTTGTGAATATACTAAAAACCACTGAATTGTATGCTTTATAAAGATGGATTTTATGATATGAAAATTATATATTAATTTCTTAAAGTGTTTAACGAGAAGTTGGAGATCTGACAATGGGCTTTTTCCATTCATAGTTTGTTTACTAAATCCCCTATGTCTAGCCTATGTCACCCTTAACAAAAGGTGAAGAGAGAGCTAGAATCATATCTGCCCCAGGATTTACTTCTGAATGCTCTCTCTAGGCTCCAGGATCCTCTTCCTGCCATCTCTTTTGGACGTACTCTTTCTTGGCTTTCAGGACTGAGTTAGAATTTAGTATGTTCTCACAGGAAAAACTCTGGGGATAACTTCCCAAAGATCTTGTCCAATATCTACAGTTTTTCTAAACTCCTCTGTTTTCCTATATAAATTACAGTCTCTTAGATGACCCTCAGAGTCTATCCACTCTGCCTTTTCTACCTAATAATTTTACATCTGTAGTGAATATTAACATCTGAGCCATTTGCTATAGATCTGGCATCTTGGGTTACATGTTCCTGGAACTATTCTAAATTCCTTGATATAAAGTTCGTTATATTTTCTTAGGCTTTGGAAAGATCCTGATGATGATTCTCAGTGGAGTTTATAGTATATTGCTTAACCCTCATTTTGTAAGATTCTCTAAGGAAAGAGGCCAGAGTCCTGAGAGAGCTGCTCCCAGAACTTCTATGAAGCACATGGTGCAAGGATGGACTGCAGTGTGCAGCGGAGACTCTCCGCTCGGGGAGGAAGCGCTCATTTGCCCAGCTGCTGAGAGGGTGAAAGGCTGACATTTCAGGTAAGTCCCTCTCCGGGAATTGCCCTCAGCTGAAGAAACCTACCTCCCCCAACGTCTTATTGTTCTTGGTGGCAGCCTGCATCCAATGACTGGTTGCTGAGGAAGTACAAAGGACCGCTAGCCTCAGCTCCAGAGTTCACCCAGGGATTGGCTCAGGCCTTTGGTATGAGCACATTGTAGTTCAACTTCTCCCTGTGTCTGACACTGCTTTGTTTATGCTCCCACAGGGAGGTGTTCCTCTGAGATGGTATTCCAACAACAATAAGCTTCTTGCATGCAAATCTCTGTCCCAAAGTCCATTTCCTGAGGAAACTAACCCAAACCAGAGGCAAACATAAACTTAGAATAGAGAGAAGGTCTTTAGGATTAACATAGTGACCTTCCTGTTTACTATATACTCTCATCCATTAATTTCCACTCAAAAAGATACAGCAGGCCTTTGGCATGCCTAGTCTGGGACAATAATAAAACAACAATGATAGCAGCAATGCTTACAGAGTGCTTACTATGTTCGGGGCACTATTCTGAGTTCCTTAGATAAATAAAGCCATTTACTGCTCACTATAACCTTATGAGTCAGGCACTTTCATTATCTTCCGTGCCCAGCAGAGGACACTAAGGCAACAGGCAGGTTCAGTGCTGAGCCCAAGGTCACATAATGAGAAGTAGAAGTTTATAACCAAACTGACTCAAGTTGTCTCCATAAGCAGCCCTCAAAGCTTCTGGGACAGAGTTTGGGGAGAAGGGAGCAACGAAGGGGGAAGTTCAAGTGGACAGGATCTCACTGAACTTACTGGTCAGCAGGAAGTCTAAACTGAGAGTAGCAGGTTAGGGAAGAGGGAATCAGCCGCCCCTTCCCCCCACTCCTGGATGCTCTTGTAGGCTTTTAGCCTGTTTCTACGTGCAGGTGATAATGTGAGGTGGACACTGTGTAGGGTCATGAACTTAGAAACTATCCCACTCATTTTTTTAAAAAATTACCTTTTTGTTTATTTATTTATTTTTTGAGACAGAGTCTTACTCTGTTGCCTGGGCTAGAGTGCTGTGGCATTAGCCTCGCTCACAGCAACCTCAAACTCCTTGGCTCAAGTGATCCTCCTGCCTCAGCCTACCAAGTAGGTGCGACTACAGGCATGCGCCACCATGCCCGGCTAATTTTTTCTATATATTTTTAGTTGGCCAATAAATTCTTTTCTATTTTTAGTAGAGACAAGGTGTCTCTCTTGCTCAGGCTGGTCTCGAACTCCTGACCTTGAGCGATCTACCCGCTTCGGCCTCCCAGAATGCTAGGATTATAGGCATGAGCCACTGTGCCTGGCCAAAATTACCTTTTTTATTGGAGTAAAATGTATATAACGAAATTGAAAATTAATCATTTTAACCTATTTTTAAGTGTTCAATTCAGGGGCATTAAGTACATTCACAATGTTATACAACTATCACTGCTATCCATTTCTAGAATTTTTTAATTGTCTCAAACAGAAACTCTGTACTCATTACACAATAACTCCCCATTCTTTTCTGTCCCCAGTCCCTGGAAACCACAATTCTGCCTTCTCCATCTATGAATTTGCCTATTTTAGGTACCTCAAATAAGTGGAATCATACAATATTTGTCCTTTTGTCTCTGGCTTATTTCTGTTAGCATGTCTTCAAAGTTCATCCATGTTGTAGCATGTATCAGAATTTCCTTCCTTTTAAAGGCTAAATAATCTTCCATTTTATACACACACACACACACACACACACACACACACACATATATATATATCCCATTTTGTATATCTACTCATCTGTTGATGGATGTTTGGATTATTTCCACCTTTGGCTATGGATTATATCCACCTTTTGTTGGATCATATGGTAACTCTATTTAACTTTTTGAGGAACTGCCAGACTATTTTCCACAGAGGTGCACCATTTTACATTCCCACCAGCAATGCACAAAGGTTCCAAATTCTCTACACTTTCACCAACATTTGGTATTTTCTGTTTTTAAAATAATAGTCCATCCTAATAGGTGTGAAGTGGTGTCTCATTGTGGATTTATTTTTGTTTTTTTGGGGTTTTTTTTTTTTTTTTTTGAGACAGTCTCGCTCTGTTCCCTGGGCTACAGTGCCATGGTATCAGCCTAGCTCACAGCAACCTCAAACTCCTAGGCTCAAGCGATCCTTTTGCCTCAGCCTCCCAAGTAGCTGGGACTACAGGCATAAGCCACCATGCCCAGCTAATTTTTTCTATATATATTAGTTGGCCAATTAATTTCTTTGTATTTATAGTAGAGATGGGTCTCGCTCTTGCTCAGGCTGGTTTCGAACTCCTGACTTTGAACTATCCGCCCGCCTCAGCCTCTCAGAATGCTAGGATTACAGGCGTGAGCCACCGCGCCCAGCCAATATTGTTTTCTTTTGATGAAATAATCACTACCCCTTTGAACACCCAGATAATGAAAGTATTAAGCATCATTTTAACAAACATTAGCTATTCCACATGACTTCCATTCTTTTTTTTTTTTTTTTTTTTGAGACAGAGTCTCACTCTAGAGTGCCTAGCTGTCAGCCTAGCTCACAGCAACCTATCAGCCTCCGAAGTAGCTGGGACTATAGACATGTGCCATCATGCCTGGCTAATTTTTTCTATATATATTTTTACTTGGCCAATTAATTTCTATTTATAGTAGAGACGGGGTCTTGTTCTTGCTCAGGCTGGTTTTGAACTCCTGACCTTCAGCCATCCTCCCGCCTCGGCCTCCCAGAGTGCTAGGATTACAGGCGTGAGCTAGCACGCCCTGTATGACTTCCATTCTTAAAACCTATTCCTCTTTTAGGATAAGATTAGTGGAAAGGTAAATTAGATTCATTATCCTGTTTCTTTTGGCTGTATTTTACCACTAAAAATTTTTAAATTTTTGCCAAATTATTTTTTCTATAGATTTGAAGACATTCTCTAATACAATATTCAAGTTGCCTTATTTTTTACTTTGTTTGCTCACAGTTTTATAAATAAGCTGATTTTTCATCTTCCTTTTCACCCTATCCTTTTCAGATGGTAAAATTTGTGACAACAATAACCACAACAAAATCAACCCTATAAAGGTAAATTTTACATTAAACTTGCTGGGGCCTCAAGTCAAGAGAATGAAAAACATTTAAAGATGATATTTTTGACCATGTGTTATTCCTATTTTCCTACAGTATATCATAGCTTAAGCACAGCCACAAGCAGTTCATTTTTAGGTTATTTACCAAAAACACAGCAAAATGATACAGTGTTCCCTCTAACATAGCTTAGAAAGAAAAGAAGGCTCCGTAATTAAGTTTCAGCAAAAATGTGGCCATGTATTTTAAACCATGTAGCTAGAATTTAAAATCATAAATAACATGTAACATTTCAGTACTTGACAACATTATGGTATTCTAATGGAGTAAAATATATAGAGAAAAATTTGTTAACTTGAAGTGTATGATAGGAGAGGCTCTTAGAAAATTATTTTACATGAATTCACTTATATTTATTAAATGACAATAAGGAATTTGTCAACTGTATCAGAAGAGGAAGTCAAGGAAAAAGAGGGAGAGGGGAAGGGAAAGGGGAGACAAGGAATGGGAAGGAGAAGAGGAGAAAGAAGAGAAGGAAGGAGAGGAAGAGAAAGTGGAGGTGGGGGAGTGAAGGACCAGAGGAGAACCTGGCATTTGAGAAAACAGCACAAGAAGGAAGGTTTCTCTTTGTCCCCTGCCATTCTCTCCTGAAGCACGTCATTAAAAGAATTCTTTGATCTTCCCCTGAAGCAAGCGCTTTCCCGTAGAGGAAAGGAGCTCAAAACAGACACCAAGAAGAATCTCAACAAACAGGCCTAAGTTACCCCCAGTTTATTACCATTTGATCATAATCTTTGTTAAATTAAACTAATTTGGTCTGAGCACGCTTCTGTCCTTGTGTAACTAATTATAACCTAACTTAGTACTTAAACTGAAACCTTAACATAGGAATATACTTTCGTAAGGAACAGCTGAGTCTCAGCCAATCACAGTAGCCACGTTCAGGCAATCACAGGCAGCCAACTGAGCAGACCATGTTCAAATAAGGCAAACTTTAAGTTATAACCAATGAAGGTGTCTCTGTACCTCACTTCTGGTTCTTGTCTGTAAATGCTGCCCGAACATGTTGCTGGGTGCAGATCTCTGATATCCTCTGCTGGTTCTGAGGGCTACCCAATTCACAAATGGTTCTTTGCTCAGTTAAACTCTGCTAAATTAATTTTTTTGTTTTGTTTTTCAATTTCAGTGAATTTATTTTAGTGGCTTTTCAGGCCCCCGAATGAGCCTCTTTTGATAAGGCTGTCACCCAGTCAACCATCTTCACTGTGGAGTCCTAAGCACTTGATTCTGTTTTGTAGATCACAAAGATTCCTTCAAATGATCTTTCTTTCCATTCCTTCATGTTAGGTTACACATTCTGAAAGTACATCCATCTTTCTCTAATACTTAGAGGTGGCATAGTCTGGTCTCCTACATTGTGTTCAAACCAGGTTGCTTCTGCTTCTCCATTCTCATTAATGTTTTCATTATCTTCTTATTCCTCTTAGCACAGTCAGGGCATAACATATTATCTTCTAGGCCCGGGGATGGGAAATAGCAGGCTGGTAACAGGAAGAGAGAAACCATCTTCCTGGGAGTGGCAGGCAACCCAGGCCTGACCTGCATGAAAGTACAGGCAAACCCAACCCTTTGTGTCTGCTGAGAGAGCGTCTTCGCCATGGACCACACACCACCTGACGCCAGAATCTTGCATCAAAAAGGCCTCAACAGAAGCAGGAATGGGACATGAATTCACAGCCTTAGGCTGAACAGCTCTTGGAGAAAGCCTTTCCCACGATGCCAATGAAGATTCCTGAGATGACAATATCACTTCAAACACATCAGTCTCCTCTGCTTTCTCATTTATCTTGCAACTTTCCTGAAGCCTTGCTCTCTTGGTCCCTGTCTTGTGTTTCCTTGAATATGACCATAATCTGGCCTCCTTTGATGTTTCAGGAATATTATGTTTCTGTTCAGGGTAAGCATGCGGCTGAAGCCTCAGAAAAACTTCCATTTTCTTGCCATTAATACTCAAATTGAGTTGTTGGCACCAGTTTTGCAAGTGTCTTGACACACGTTATTAATGGGAGGCAAAACAATTGGCAAGGGAAGAATAGGTGTTTTACATCTAGCTTTTGTGGGAGCTTTGAATTGTTCATTTGTTGGAGGTAGATGAACTTGATTTTGTTTCCCAGGCTTGCAGAAAGAAAACTGTTATTTAAAAGGATATAAATTCAATATTAAGTGTGGGCGCATTATGCGCACAAATGGCTCCCTGGTCTTTCCTGAGTCCTTAAAGCTTCCGTTATTAAAACTTCTCTACTTCTTAACTCATCATGGAGTAGACAAAATGATATAAATTGTAGAAAAATAATTGGTGTGGTGACTGTTCTAAAATTGTTAGAAAGGTTTATAACCAATGTTATAAACCTGGGAAGATAATCAAAACTTCAGCTGGTACATTTCTGCTACTTGATGGGCCATTTGAACATTTTTTTAAGGTGGGGTCTCCCTATGTTGCCAGTAGGTCCCGAACTCCTGAGCTCAAGAGATCCTTCTGCCTCAGCCTCCTGAGTGGCTGGGACTACAGGTGTGTGCCACTACACCTGGCCCCCATTTGAGCATTTACAGATTGTTTTCATTCAATTGCCACCTTCAATGGGATATGAGTATGTTCTTGTAATGGTCTATGTTCTCTGGTTGAAGCTCACCATGCAAAAAGGCCAATACAGTAACAACAGCTAAAAGTTTATTCAAAAGTGTGTTTCCTTTATGGAGCATTCCTGGAGAAATGTCCAGTGATAGAAGTACTAATTTTACTGGAGAAATTATAAAGCAATTAAATAAGGTGCTAAGAATATAGTAGCATTACCAATATCCCCTTCCCCCATCACCTTCAGTCTTCTGAAAAGGTTGAAAGGCCAATTGGCATCATAAAACTGAAAATGGCAAAAGTGAATTGATTGTACTGCTTTACCTGAAGGTATTACTATTGACTTTGATGGCAATCAGATCCACCCCTAGTTGAAGACATAAGTTGACCTCTTATGAAAGAGTCACCGGAAGGCCTATGTCCCTCATTATAGAACCCCATGTTATCTCCTGCTCTTCTAAACTCTCATATGATTGAATGATGCAAAGCTTTGATGCATTTTGCCAAAGTGTATTTTCAGCAGCTAAAGAAAGCTTTTCATGATCCACTCTTTTTTGTTTGTTTTGTTTTTTGTTTTGAGACAGAGTCTTGCTTTGTTGCCCAGGCTAGAGTGAGTGCTGTGGCGTTAGCCTAGCTCACAGCAACCTCAAACTCCTGGGCTCAAGCAATCCTCCTGCCTCAGCCTCTTGAGTAGCTGGGACTACAGGCATGCGCCACCATGCCCGGCTAATTTTTTCTATATATATTAGTTGGCCAATTAATTTCTTTCTATTTTTAGTAGAGACGGGGTCTCACTCTTGCTCAGGCTGGTTTCAAACTCCTGAGCTCAAATGATCCACCTGCCTTGGCCTCCCAGAGAGCTAGGATTACAGGCGTGAGCCACTGCGCCCGGCCCATGATCCACTCTTGAGGATAATCAAACCCTTCATGATACAGAACCTGGACATTGAGTATTCTGGAAACAACATCACAGAAAGACTGCTCTTGAACCCCATTGGAAGGAACCATATGAAATTCTTCTCACCACCCACACTGCAATAAAACTTTGAGGCCTCAAAAACATGTAGACCTAGAGTTACCATATGACCCAGCAATTCCACTTCTTGAGTATATACTTAAGAGAAATGAAAATATACATTCACACAAAAACTTGTACATGAATGTTCATAGTAGCTTTATTCATTATGGCCAAAAAGTAGAAACAGTCCCAATGTCCATCAGCTAATGAAAGGATAAACATAATATATTCATACAATGGAAACTTATTCAGCCATAAAAAGGAATGAAGTACTAATGCATACTACAATATGGATGAACCTTGAAAATATTATGCTAATAATTCCATTTACAGTAGTACATGAAATATCCAGAATAAGCAAATCCATAGAGACAAAATTATATTAACAGCTATCAAGGGACAGAAGAGGGAAACTGGGACTAACTGCTAATGGTATGCAATTTCTTTTGGGGGTATTGGAACTGTTCTGAAATTAACTAATGGTGATGGTTGCTCAACATAGGGAATTTACTAAAAACCACTGAACTATACATTTTAAAATGGTGAATTTTATGTAATATTAATTACATCTCAACAAAATAAAAAATACTTTTGTTTTATTATTAGTGAAATAGGGTTAAGAGTGCCTTCCTCTTTCTTAACTCAGAGAAATAAATGCTGGAAGAAAAATGAGGGAATTGAAGTGAGGCAACTGATTTGTCAGTGAAAATACAATGGAAAGTTATTTTCCTGAAAAATATTTGGGCATGTATTCACCATAAGTGATAACTGTAACATGTTTCCAATTTTGCATTTATAAAATCTCTCCTCACCTTTTTCTTTAATGGTTTTTCTCCTCCTTGTCCCTAATTTCTGGTTAAAACCCTAACTTACTTAAAATCCTTCTAAGTTTTGCTTTCTAGAGTTTGCAAATAACTGTAGGGTATTTTCCTAAGGCAGACTACTTTACAACATCTCCAAATGTTCTCAACCTTTAAAACAAGAATGTGAAGTGATGGGGATTTGTAAAATTAAAAAACAAGCCACTAGAGGGCACTGTACCCTCCAAATTGCAGTAAAGATTTCTGTGAAGAAAAACTTTTTATCTTAAAGATTATGCTTCATACAGTGAAGCCCAGAGAGCTGTTTATGCACCTGATCAAATCATTCATCACCTGAGTGGCCTTAGGAAAGTCTTCCACTCTTTCTGGTTTCAGCTTTCACATCCACAAAATAGGGGCGGGGGTGGGGATAGGGGTGGGAGGCAGCATTCAGCTACATGATTTTCAAGCTCCTTTCAGCATTAAAATTCCCATCTTGCACTTGCAATGGCTTAAAACCAGGACGAAATCTGGGAAAATGGTAAAC